AGGCAATTACTATACCTGGGCGGCTTATAGTATGAAAGTCCCTCCAACAATCTCTGCCAGTGCTTGTTCAATTCTGTCGCAATCTGTGCCTAAAAAAAGAACCAAATGCTACTGAACAGTTTCCTCAACATGCACTGCTGAGTATCAGACTTGTTAAATTTAAGCAAAGCAAAGAAATTCCACCACCAAAAAGAGACAGGAATAAGAAAGAGAAGCATCTACAATTCAGACTGATCCAAGGTGCATATCGTATGAGAAAGCTCGCTGCCTTGCCTGATCACGGGAAGGGAGAGGAACTAGGAGGCAGCGGACTAGGTTCAGAAACATTTGGATTTCCAACCTCTTTGCAAATTCTTAAAAGCACAGGCTCCATCCCAGCAAATAAGGAAGCAGACTGTACCACTCATGGATACCCCAGGCCAGCCAGTCTAGAAAGCAGCACTTGTGTCTGCTCCAGAAAAGGAACCGCCTTTTCACATATAACCTTCCAGGCAGTTCATGAAGCAGCTACAAACAAGGAGTGGAACAATGAACAAACAGCGGAGACAGAGAGAAAAAGAAAAAATCCCACTGAGAAAGAGAAAAAAGCAGCAAAACATATTTTCACTGGTCATTCAGTGACAGGCAAACCTGCTTAGGAAGACACGGACTTACTGGTTCTCTTAAAGCTGATCTGCCCAGAAGAATTGTCCACAATTCTCTGCTGCTTCTGTATACAAAGGGAAAGGTGAAGAGTATTTTAACGATGAACACTAGTTCAGGCCTCCATTTAGATTACACCTTTTCAAACCTGCCATTAAGTCAGAGCAGATCACACTGCAATATAAGAAAACTGATTCAAGGAACATTAGTTTTTAGCTGACCAGTTTCAGATGTCCTGGGAGAACCCAGGAAAGACCCAAAGAGGGCAACAACTGATATAGCGAGACTCACAAACTCATGTTAAAGAAGCATCACGTTTATACTGGTTTATTAGCTCAATTTGATTTTGCTACTTGGACGTCTGAGGTTAGTTAAAACAAACTTAATAAAAGTATACAGCAATATTTTTTTCAGTTACATCCGATGCTCTCCTCTAAACAAATTCTTCCATAACAGTTTCATCCTTCACTCTAAATGGAACATAAAACTGTGTGAAACGAAAAACTGCAACACCTGTACACAAGGTAGAATGATTTGCCGCAGGTCTTCAGAACACTTACCCTCAGCTTCTTGTTTCTTCCTGAGAACTCTAGAAAAGCCAGTCTGCACTACAAGGTATTACAGATAAAATCCTGACCCTGGCCTTCACATCCAGAAAAATGAGTGTCCCTACAACAGTTCTGAAACATGATGTTTGCCAAAAAGAATATTTCGAGAACACAAAGGATGATTTGTTGGCAATGTAACACAAATCAGGAGTTACACACCGCAGCTCCCCACACAAAGACTGTCTGCAAAGGCAGTAACACTCATTAACTTATTTTTAGAATAGCATCATCAAAATAACTCACTGTAGCAGTGAAAGTCATCTGCAACTTGTGACACATGGTGCCACTTACATGATAAGACCTATTATTTCCAGTACACCTATCAACATAATTCCTCCCTGCTAATTCCTTGACAGTTACGTGCACCTCCCTGTGCATAAGCTAACGAACCTCTCCTGACTCAGGTAGCCACCAGCTGCGGGTGCACCCTCTCCAGCACCGAAAGGCCAAGGAATTTTACCAAGAAAGGAATGGCTATGTAGAACCGAGCACCAGCCCAGCAGAGCTAGACCTTCTACTTTCCGCTCCCTCCCAACCTCTTCTGCAAACACAGCTGGCCACGGTTGGTTGCCGGTTCGTTAATTAGACTCCAAGACAGCTAAGGAAGGAAAGCTCTCTTCATGCGACCACACGTCACCGCAGTGATCTTGTCCCCATTAGGGCTTACAGATGTTAATTTAATAAGAATTAGATATCCAGGCACACTCCAGCCTGAAAATGTTACAACAAATGTCAAAAAAAGTGCTCAGCACAAACGATGGCGCCGATCCAAAGCGATGAGTGGCCCTGGGATCCGTCAAGAAGCTTCTCTCGCCCCTCTCCACAGAACCATAGCGCGGTGGGGGTTGGAAGGGACCTCTGTGGGTCACCCGGTCCAGCCCCCCCGCCGCAGCAGAGCCACCCAGAGCAGGATGATTGTTACATTCGCAAACAGCTGTCCGCCAGGTGGAAACCAACCCCTGCAGGCCCGGCTCCCACCGAGGGCGGCTGCGGGACGGGGCCC